TCCTCCTCCCCCCACCCCGGCCTCCCTCCTCCTGACCTGTCCCCCCAGCCTGGGCCCCCCAGGCCAGACCCCCACCCCGGCCTCCCTCCTCCCAGCCTGGCCCCCCAGCCTGGGCCCCACTTCTGGGCCCATGTCCTCCCCCAGGCTGGGCTCCCCACCCCTGGCCTCCCTCCCCCCAGCCTGGGCCCCCATTCCCAGGCCCCTATCTTCTCCCCTGTCATCCTTGAGCCTGTGACCTGTGTCCCAGCAGGGTAGAGTCGGGGCTCCCTTCCCACAGGGCCACAAAGAGGTTCTTGCCAGGAGGGAAGAAGCAGAGCCGCCCTTCTCCCATCCAACAGCTTCTAGCTAATCAGCCTCCTGCTAACCCCAGGCTGACCGAGCCCCCAAGCAGCACCAAGAGGAGCTTGGCAGAACTCCTAGCAGGGGACATGGTTCCACGCTGGGCCTTAGCGGTGGAGCCCCTTACTTCCCCCGTCTTTTGTGCTTACCCCTGGGCTAGTTGGCTTATCCCTTTGACTAGTAGGTATCTAATGAGTTTTGCAAGCCCTGTGCACTAGGCTGGTGCACCAGCCAGCGTGAGCTGCATTCCCAGTCACTCCCCTATCCTGATAGTGCAACATGTACACTGGTCTGTGCAACACCCCATTTAACAGGCCTCCATGGGTACTAGATAGACTTGACTGTGGATGGGCAATTAGGGCTTGTGTGCTTTGATTACTGGGCTGGCTTGTGAGGCAGGTCTCTTGTATTAGTTTAGATGAATATATGGGCTGAAGGTGTTACCATAACCCGGTCGCTGCCCAACAGTAAACAGTGATAAACAAGGTCCAGGTTTTCATATATAGAGACCTCGGGCTGCTTAGTGCCATGGCAGACACACCAGTCAAAATCCTTTTAACCTTGTATTAAAGATAAAAAAGGAGAACACAACAGTTAAAACATTTAAAATATAAAGTATGAAACAAGACTTTCATTTTACCAACATCCTTTGTTCCCTTTCCCTGTAGCTGGAGAGAGTGTTTAGAAGGAAAAACCCCTTTGTCTGACAGCCTCTTAGATGGAATCAAAGATGGTAAGAACTGTCCTTTGGGGGAAAGAAGATAGCTGAGATGGGCTGGAGCTGGTGGTGCTGCTGGTGTTAAAATCTGTTCCCACTTCATCCCAGGTGGTGTTTGGGACTCAGATGGAGCCAGTGGAGGTGGTAATGTCATTTGAACATAAGAACGGCCACACTGGGTCAGACCAAGAGTCCATCTAGCCCAGTGTCCTGTCTCCCAACAGTGGCCAATGCCAGGTGCCCCAGAGGGAATGGACAGAACAGGTAATCATCAAGTGATCCATCCCCTGTCGCCCATTCCCAGCTTCTGGCAAACAGAGGCTAGGGACACCATTCTTGCCCATCCTGGCTAATACCCATTGATGGACCTATACTCCATGAATTTACCTAGTTCTTTTTTGAACCCTGTTATAGTCTTGGCCTTCATAACATCCTCTGGCAACAAGTTCCACAGGTTGACGGTGCGCTCTGTGAAGAAATACTTCCTTTTGTTCGTTTTAAACCTATTAATTTCATTTGGTGACCCCTAGTTCTTGTGTTCTGTGAAGGGATAAATAACACTTCCTTATTTACTTTCTCCACACCAGTTATGATTTTATAGACCATCTCTCATACCCCCCCAGTCGCCTCTTTTCCAAGCTGAACAGTCCCAGTCTTATTAATCTCTCCCCATACGAAAGCTGTTCCATATCCCTAATTTTTGCTGCTCTTTTCTGTACCTTTTCCAATTCCAATATATCTTTTTTGAGATGGGGGGGACCAGATCTGCACACAGTATTCAAGATGTGGGCATCTCATAGATTTATATAGAGGCAATATGATATTTTTTGTCTTATTATCTAGCCCTTTCTTAATGATTCTCAACATTGTTAGTTTTTTTGACTGCCGCTGCACATTGAGTGGATGTTTTCAGAGAACTATCTGCAATGACTCCAAGATCTCTTTCCTGAGTGGTAGCAGCTAATTTAGACCCATCATTTTATAAGTACAGTTGTGATTATGTTTTCCAAGGTGCATTACTTGCATTTATCAGCATT